TTACATTTATTACAAAAATGTAATATTTATTTCTCTCTATTGCCTTTAGAGATTTTTTTATGGAACTTATTAATTGCACTTAAACACAATTACATTCTATGCGTTCGATGCATTAGCCAACGTTCTATTCTTTAGTACAATGGTTTTTTTCTCTTATTCTATTTGTATTAATTTTCTCTCGTCACTTTGCTTACATTCTTATCTTTTTTTTCGCACACATAATTATATAACTTACTCTAAAATATTAATGAAACAATAAATACTATGCGAAATACGTTTAGAATATATTTGTTTCGTTTAAAACAAATTTGTTAAAAATAATGGGAAAAAGATGTACAACAAAGTATACAAATAGCTAGCAAATATATTATTTAATAATGAATATATAATATAATAGTGAATATTAGTATATTTGAGAGAGATATGTGTATAAATCGAATCAATATTTTTTATAAGCGTGCTTATATGTTTACATATACATATATGTAACTTTCTCATTCTGTTGTATCATTATTAATCGCAGACTAATGTCAAAATATCATCTAATGCAACTAAAAATATAATTTCAATCATTTTCTTATTTATGATAATATCAATTTAATTTCCTCATGTAGAATATCATCGTGAGACATTGTTTGGATCTAAATATATCCGAAATATATCGCATATAGGAATAGGATATACAATGAGAAACGTGTGTCTGATATAACGAAAAAATAAAATAGGAAAAAGAAGCATGAAGAAGAATCATCGTAGTGTACGAAATAAGTACTTGACATTCACTGTATGGATATTTTTAGCATTTAAGTATAAAAGAAAGACGAATATAATGTTATTAAACATGAATCCAATGGTTGGAATCGAATGAAATTACGTGAATTAATTGAAAACCCTCTGTTTATCAGGCAAGTCCTACTTAGAGCGAGAAATCCGCCTGACGCCTGATTGCGATATGGTAAAACGCTTGCGCTCATGGTCGCAAGAATGTTATGTTAGCACTAATGACAATATATATATATATATATCTATATGTGTTAGATCGGTGTTGCATCATATATTGTGTTCCTTACCTATACATATACATATCTATATCCGCCTGCAGCTATGTGCACGATATCGTTGGTGCGATATTTTCATTGACCGCTGAGCCGAAAATTGTAACTATTCTGTTATCTATACTTTCTTTCGACCAGTGTCATCGGTCACGAAAAAAAAGGTGATATTTTTCATTTGCAATATTATGTCAGAAATATCAGTAACTTCGTCGTGTTAATTCCATTCAGTTTATTTATATCGCATATACATACGAAATGTATGTATTAAAAAACAGAAAAATATATATATCAAATGAAAAAAATATTAAAGCGCTAAAATATCAGTTGATGATATAATAAATATACATCCAAACCGACAATATGTCCCTAATCTACATTTTTTCCGATTTAATGATTTTGCGGTTGTGAGATCAATCTTGCTTGTACAAGTCGTCATCACAAGCGACACAAGCGACGATTCTTTTATTCGTTGAAGACTTGGAACAATTTAGTAATATGATTAAGACTAGCTCGATCATAGTCTATTAAATCTTCTTTTTAATTCAAATGGTAAAAATTTAATATCTATCCATATAATACAAATTAATACAAATAAATTATAAAACAAAAAATATAAATATATTATAACATTTATTTTATAATATTGAACAAATATTGCGTATTTAAAAAAAAAATTTATTTGAGTACCAACAAAGATTTTTCACTCTATTTTTATCTCATTTTCTGTCTTTCTCTCCCATCTGTGTATGTATCATCATATATATATCTGCATAATATATATCTCTTTACAAAATTCTTTGCCTGTCCGTCTGACCTATCTGCCTGTTAACGGCCGCCGTATTCGAGTTAGTAAACTTGCTATTTACTTCTTAGAGTCAAGAATATAATTATTTCCTCTTTATTCCCTAACTATAACTTTCTCCCAACATTTGGAAGCATCGTCTGTATTATTATGTAGTAAAGGCAAATATAGTGGTTGGAAACGGGTGGATAAACAGACGGACGGCTTTTCTTGCTAAATGCGTAGTACGGTCTACCTAGCAAGCTAGTTGTTGCTGTCTGTCTGTCTGTCTGTCTGTCTGTCTATCTATCTATCTATCTATCTATCTATCTATCTATCTATCTATCTGTCTGTCTATCTATCTATCTATCTATCTATCTGTCTGTCTGTCTGTCTGGCAGTCTGGTTTTTGTCTATTAATTTATTCCTTGTTTAACAAGCCCTTTATTTACACCCATTCACGTAATAAACTCGACGATACAGTCTCGACGCGGCTCGGTGATCACAAAAGAAAATTTATGAGAAAATTTATCTGAACTTACGATAATCGACTTTATTTCAGGAAAGATTAAAATTATATAATACGATTATAATTATATATTATTAATCTTTAAATATAAAAAAATTGGCGATTGGCAAAGTCTCTTACAAATCTGTTTCATCTTTTGCAAATTTTTTTCGAATACTTTTTTTTTTAACATTATTACTTTTATTGGCTATCTAAGGACACACAAATATGAATGTTAAAAAAATATTATTGCATTAAAACTAATACCCTTATTTATGTCCTTTTCATTTTTACAAACAAGACTTAATTTAAAATAATCTTTAGGGCCTAAAAGATCCCATGTATTTTCTTAAGAATTAAGACTATATAGTTATATTTTATAATTGACCGTGTATATACAAATTTCTCTCGACTCTCTTGGAAGAATAATATTCAAACGACAAACCATTTACGATTAATTTATTATTAATTACGTTCAAGTCCAAGATAGATAAATGTAACAATCGATCGATCGAGCTACGATCAAGGCTGCGTCTATCCTAAGCGTGCACTATATAATTTAGTTTCATCTCACTCTCGATATTATTTCCATATTATTCACTGTCACACGGCCAATGCTCTTGGTATGCTGGATGGATTAATTGACCTACTTCATTGATTCACATATATTCGAATATATATTAATTGAACATTTATGCCCTTTCTGTACGGTATTATCTACCTGTTCTACACTATTATCGTTGCGATGTTGGTGTTGTTGTTTAATACATCTATATATACTCTAATCAATATTTTGTATTGATGTTGATGTTGTTGTTAATTTGATGTTTTTGATGTGTTGTTTAGTCGTTGTTATCTTGCTGTTTGTTTGATGTTTGCACTATGTTGTTGCACTTTGTGTGTCTATGTACACACCTACATACGTACATGTATATATCTCTTATCACGTATTATATGCGTACACGTTATTATCTATTCTATGCACAAAATTAATTGTGTGTACGAAAAGTTTATCTCTCTATACATCTCTATACAAAAAAATTCAAACATCATATTCAACTTCTATTCGATATGCATATTAAACGCATACGTGCACGCTTGTAGTGTACTGTTGTAATGCGTATATTAAGAAATATCTAAACAACTCGATCTTTACAATTTCTAGTAGTTTTTTTTTCGTTCACAATTATTATTTATTCATTTAAATGTCGCAGTGTATCGAATGTGAAATTCTTGAGATAAACAATAGAGATTGTTTCTTCATAACGGCATATGCAATCTATTTTTTGATTTGTGTTCTGCTAAGAATATATTCTATAAACGTATATTTCATATTCATCCGGTCTCACGCTTGGAATGCATCATCCAATGCATATGTATATGTGTATGTATGTACGTCATATATAAATATATATGTACAGTGTTCCAGGATTATCGTACCCTCTTTCACATATAAGTTCTTTTGGTGAATTTGAGGTCGATGAATCCTACACAATGAAAATTTGACGGGATATATACGATTACAAAGTCGATTAACGAAAATTGAAGAATTCTGAATCAAATTAAATGAAAAATCTTACCAGACTAAACCATTAACTCAATAAAAAAAAACAAAACATTTTATACTAATTCATTTTACATTAATTCTATCTAATTCAATGAAATGTTTGAAATATAAAATTATATCGACGATAAAATTTTTTTCTTTACAAAATTTTCTCTAGAAAAAAACAATTTTATATTTATTCAAGGATCTATAATTGAAAGAAACTGCGACAGTTTTGGAACATAATCTGTACCATGGTCTAAGCATCAGAATAATTTTATCGGTTCGTCACTAAAACCACCCCCTAACAAGCTCATGGTAACAACGACTTTTCTGTCCTTATCTAACTATTTATATACCTATCGATCTATCTGTATATTTATGCGTGTCAATTACGAAACTGGGCTAAGCTACAATGCTGCAAAAGATGAAACAATACTAGAGGGAGAGATCTACTCTAGCATTTTACCTTTAATATTATTATTTGGCTGTAACTCTCTCTAATTCGATGTGCATAACTTATATACGGCTTATCTCAATTTCGTGATTCGATTGGATACACGTACATATACACATGTGTGTTCAAATGCGACTTATCACTACAAGATTAATCTATGTATATTAAGTACAACTAAGCTAGTTGAAAATACCATTTGTGTACAGACACATTACTAGTAATTGTTCAATTATATTAATTTTTCATCACTGATGATGATCGAAATAATACCGAAAAAATGTAAGCACGATATATCTGAATAAACAAAATTTACAATAAAGTGCGAAATAAATTGGACGAAATAATTTCATCTTTTAAAGATTATAACTCGTCAATAGCTCAAAATTCCAAAGCAAATTATCTTTTCACGCATTGGAAAAAAATCTAACATTTTGTATATAATTTCAAGATAGGATATAAATCGCTCTCGCGATACCGCAAACGTTTCGTCCAGTTTCGATAGACAAAAATTTGATAAAATAGAATTTGTTAAGTAAAAAATAATCGTGTCGGTTCGCGAAGGTAAGGAAAGAATAGCGTTAAATTAAGGGGGTGGTTCGTCGTGACATCGAGGTCATTAATCAGATCAGATGATCATGGGAATTGTGTTTCAGGATTGCATTCACCTCACGAAGGATTAACCGGTGGCTCTGGTCAAAGCATGTCTGGACTAGCTTACTATCAGGCAGAACATCCCGGCTCTACAGGGGTAGTAAAGTACCCCGAGAACGGACATGATACTCTCTCGGATTTTGTGACGTTTGTCTGCCAAGAAGCCGAGAACACTCAGCAATTACCTCAGGTAGTTTAGCGACTAGTGAATAATATTTAAAATTACATAAACGCGTGAACTGTTTCCTCTTCGCGAACAATTGGGAAAATTACCTTTCGACACATACACAAAATCTCTACGATTTCTACGGATGAAAGCCGATATCTAACTTAACCGCGATTACTTTCAGACGCAGCTAACTGGACCGCGCACTGGTATACAAAAATTCCCACAGTATTATCCGAGTTCGATGTTACCGCCGCCTCCTCCCGCTCCCATGGCCAGACCGGTGGCGATAATAAGATCGACGGGTGAGCTGGCAGCGACGACCGCTAGTTCGCCTCCAACATCGTCCACATCACCTACGGATCCAGCCGAACTAGGTCCCAACCAAGAACAGATGACCGCGGCGGTCGGTCTCGTCGGTTCTGCTTGCCAGAATTCTGTCGAATCCACTGGCCGGAAGAGCCCCGCCAGAATTCTCGTTACACCGCACACAACTAGCAGGGAATACACGTTTGCTCATTTTCATTCACAACCCGGACAGGTTAGATTATTGTACGATTGCATTCTTGTTTCCTCGAGAAGGAATTTCTTTCATCTCTTTTATATCAGAGTCAGTTGTTTTTTAGTGCTTCTTTGAGTTTCATTATGAAATATATGCAATCTTTCTGCATTGTACTCTTATTTTTCTAGCAAATCTTCACCTATCCAACCATCAGTTCAATGTCCGGGGTAATATCGCCGACTAATCTCTCTCTATTTTCGTCTCCTGTCTCGGTTACGAGACCGGTGGCCACTCAGAGATCAGTCTCGAATGTTCCACCGCGTTGGAATACTGCACCATTTATCAATTTGGAAGACGATTACAACATGATAGCGCCGATTATCGCTGGAACTACTAGCGAACCACCATCTGCCATGGAAGAAGGTGAAGCTAAATCTCGTGTTTCTATCATTGGCAAAATTGTCAATATTTTTGCTAGCTTAAAACAGATATTTTCTCTTTTTCAGAACGATATTTTCATCCTGTGCATACGAGTGGCGTAGTAGACAAAAATGGCAGTGGTAATTTAATAGGCAACGAACTCGGAGTAAACACAGATCCTGCGTCACATCATCACCAACAGCAGCAGCATCAACAGCAGCAGCAGCAACAGCAACAACAACAACATCAGCAGCATCAACAGCAGCAAACACAATCATCTTCGCAACAGCAGCAACAAGTAATGGCAGATAAATCTGGTGGACCTAAATCTCCTCCGTGACAGTGGAGTCTGAAAACGGAAAGTCTCGAGAGACTCGCATACTCGCCACGTTTGTCGAGATCAGTATTTGGTATCGCGTGTAATAATTATTCCGAAATTATAGCCGAGCCCGAATTCGAGCGCAATCGTCAGGAATCTATGTCTCCTATTCAATTACGTGATTTAAACTTGCGGAGAATAGAATATTTAAGAGTTCGATCTTAATTTACATTAAAAAGCATTATAAAGCAAAAATAAGAATACGTTCCGTAAGGAACATAATTGAGGAAAAAGGAGATTCGTTGATTCACGTTTATCTCGAAATGAATTCGTACAATATAAAGTTTCATTACAACTTAACCAAGTATAAGTAAGTTCTTCTAAAGCATAGTTAACCGTGAGAGAGTTTGCGACGCTTGGAATAGCCATAAGATGACGTCGCCATGCATGCCTTATTCTGCTCGAAAACAGAAAATTGTCTACATACAGTGTCGTACAATGAAATATTGTTCAAGCTATAATATAACGTATTTAGATAAAACGACATAATTTCAGTTGAAATTGATACAAATAGTTGGACGCGATATAACTAATATGCAATATTGTTTGATCATTTGTCAACAATACAGAATGCGCTATATTGGTCGATACACGGTTCATGATTTCCATATAATTATTTAAATTATTTTCTCTTTGTCTGTTTCCCTCTCTCCTCCCCCCTTCCACCTCTCTCTCTCTCTCTCTCTCTCTCTCTCTCACTCTCTCTCTCTCTTTCTATTTTTCTATTTTTCATATTTTTCTATATCTCGAGACATAAACGAAAACAGCTGAATTTCTTCATTTATGTTATTTTTAAACTTTCTAAAACTCTCCCGCAATCTCGTAGTTAAAACGGTATAATATTCTTGCGATATAGCATTCTTCCATAATGTTTATATTATAAAGAGATTCGATTTATTTTCGTAATAAAATTTTCGTGACATATATGCGAGTATGTTTTTTTAATAAGTACAAAACTGTAATATTTTGTATAAATAGTGTTTTATAATCGATAATAATGAAGAGGGACATGGAAGCAGACAGTAAAACTTTTATTAAAAGTAGAAATAACGCGAATAACACAAAGCTTCTGTGAGTACGTAATTTTTTCTCCTCATCATTTTCCAAAAATTTTTCAAATAACCTTCTCGTTGATCCAATCTGCTTTGCAATATTTTAACACTTTTAACATTGAAATATATAGTAACATGTCGCGTTCCTGTTGATCGCCCTTTATACATTTTGTGTAGACCAAGTTTCATCTAGTTGCCGAAAAATTGTTCTTCCACATGTTATTCCAGACTTTACGTCACGTATTTAGAATATACAAGTTTATACGTATTTATGTAGAAAGTTGTGTTACATATTTCACGTAGTGCATCGATGAGTAAATATTACGGGTTTAGCTTGAACAAATAAAATTTGTTAGCTCGTGTATCATAAAGATACATATGAGTGATTCGTTAGAAATGAATTGGCGACATGTACGATTCTTATAATGGTTGAATATAATTGAACCGTGTATAAAGTTTTCTGTGCCAATGAAGCAGCACATGTGCGCGCTATTCTTTTTGTAGTGATATTAATAAATTAAGGATTGCCTATAAACACGGATTAATGCGAGACAAACGTCGATGGTGACAAACCGTAAACGAAAATCCATCGAATAAGAATTTACTGATTTATAAATGACAGATACTCGATAATAAGCATAGCGTCATCGCGTAATGCTCAGGCTAGCATTAATTAGGGAAAAGAACTAGTGAAAACTAGTCACATCAGAGGCTGCTAATTAGAACCAATGTGGATATTTAATATTGTGTTTATTGGATAATATAAGCGCTTAATTATTTAAATATGTTATCAATATTATATTGAAAATAACGATGTAGGAAATAATCGCGTAAGCAAACAAACATCGAATATTGTTTATTGCGAACAAAGTCCAACTTTGTATAAAGTTTTTCATTGCCAATGTATATCAAAAAGAGTGCATAAAATAAGAAATTGCCATTATTACGGACTTATACTGATGTTGTAAAATATACTCAGTTAAATTAACAGTTCAAATTTTTCGTTGTTTATATCACAAGAACAAAATACTCTTAATATATTTGTTAAACGATCATATTCGCTTCATATTTAATAATTAATCAAACCTACTTTTCTCTTTTCTATACACAATAAGACAAATAAGTAAACGATATGCAGAGAAGAAATTTGGATTTGTGTCCGTTATCATCCGTAATCGAAAAAACATAGTTAATAAGAGCATTCAACATAAACGAGTGATATGTTATTATGTTCTTATGTACATTATCTAGATAACAAGATGATTAATTTTGTTATATTATAATATTGTTTTATTAATACCATTTGTTACACACGACAAACGATCGCACAATCTAACGTTCTCTTTTTCAAATTGTTTTCTTGTTTTTTTAACACTTGAAATTCGATAAAGATTTATCGGCGGTGAGGAGAGAAAAAATGGATTCTCGAAACTTCTTTTATGGACTAATTTAATTTCATTTTCTTTTAAAATGTAGATACTATCGTTGAGACAAATGTATAAGCTTAACGCTTGTGAATGTAGTTGAAACAGATACGTATATTACCTATCTGCTTATGGCTCCACTATTTATAATTAAAAAATACTATTATTTGATTAAGTACTCAACCTCGCTTACTAAAAATAACAATAATCCCAATCTATTTAAAATAAGTTAATAATTATGCGGGGTTTAAATTATAGGATGTCTACTTTAGAATTATTAGTTCTAGATAGTCTATCCATGTTATCATTATTGTGTTTGTGTGTATTTCCGTGAGAAGAGAAGTATATACAATGCAAGTATGTGGATGCACGTAAAGTAGAGACGTCAAAATAGAACCAACAAGTGAAAAAGTATCACGTGGGCACTGTACCAGAAGAAGCAAAACATTTTGTTACGAATCATGAAAATAAGATCACTAATCGGCCGAATGTTTTATTTTGCTCGCTCCTTCCCCATTTATTAAATTAATGAATATTGATCCTTAACTGGTAATAAAGAAAAAAGTCAATACGTAATTGGAGAAATATAATAGAAATCTCACAGATGTTTTATTTTTATTTTAGATTTCTTCTTAAAAATTTTACATTTTTCGGAACTTTTCAATATTTTGGACAACGTTCATTATGTTTATTTGTTCTAAAGTATATAAGGATACAAAAAAAATAGAAGAAAAATTATTGCATTAAATTTGATATATTAAATTATTTAGTTTTTCTTATTCTAACACAGAAAAATCTTTCAAATATCTTTAAAATTTGAAAATATATATCATGTGTATATCCCATATATTTGCCATGTTAAGGATTAATTTAACTTGTTGATTTTATGAAAATATATTGATTATTCCATATGGTTTAAACAAAAACCAATGTAATTTTTTTACGATACACCTTACGGAATATTAAAATTATGTTACTTGAAATTTTTACCTGTATAAAAAAAAATATTGTCAATTTTTCTAAATTCCAATTATTTAGCCATTTCTTTATTTTATATATAAAAATCCTGCTTAAATTAATGTTTTTTTTTTTTGTAAGTATATTCTCGAAATGTGTTGAATCTATTATTTAAATTACAATACGTCATTTCCATATTGACATTAATTACTTTCAAGTGTTACTTGTTATATTGTTGATTATTAATTACAGAAACTACATTGAGTTGTTTTATTTTATCGCTATCAAAATTAAAAATTCTTTAACATTTTTGTATAAAATACATATATTTATAATCTAAAGAAAACATGTTGCAAAATAATAATAAATAAATTATACAAAACAAAGATAGAAGAAGTAACATTAAGAAGATAGAGTTCAAGAATATTTGTAATAAAAAAAGTGCCGTATATCTATCAATTCGCGCGGTTCAACGATAACAATAATAAATATAATAATTTAATAATAAATATTATATTATGTTAATATTCTTACAGAAAGATGTAGTTGCTCTTATATTATATAAAACAACATTATTATAATAACTACAGCTTATAGTAATGTTATAATTGAAAAAGATTATTATTGCATTATTATTAAAATTACTATACATTATTTCCTACTACTGTTATCATTATCATACCATTATTAATATTGTTGTTATTACTACAATTATTGCAGCAACTGTCATTACTACTACTATTACTATCATTATTATTATTATTATTATTATTATTATTACTACTACTACTACTACTACTATATTATTACTGCTACTACTACTACTACTACTACTACTACTACTACTACTACTACTACTACTACTACTACTACTACTATTACTACTACTACTACTACTACTTCTACTATTATTATTACTACTACTGCTACTACTACTATTACTATCACCGCTGCTATCATTACCAATACCATTAACATTCTTATTATCATCACTAGTACTATTAATACTATTATTACTAATTCTACAAATATCACTACTGCTATTATGGTTACTATTAATATTACTATTAATATTACTAATTTTATAATTACTACTACTGCTATTATGATTACTATAACTAATATTAATATTACTATTATCAAACTTCGACAATTAATATTCACTATTATTATTGTTATTACGGCTACAATTATTATTACTACTACTGCTGTTACTACTCCTATTGCTACTGCTACTACTACTATTACTGCTGTTACTATCTTACTACTGCTGCTATTATTATTACTACAATTATTACTATTATCACCACTACTATTACTATGACTACTTTTACTATTTCTACTACTATTTCCACTATTACTACTACTACCACCATCATTACTATACTACTTACTACTACTATCATTACTACTTCTACTACTACTACTACTACTACTACTACTACTACTACTACTATTACTATTACTACTACTACTACTGCTATTATTACTACTATTCCTACTACTACTTCTATTGCTACTGCTACTACCACTATCACTATTAATAATAATAATATTACTATTAACATTATTTTATTACTATTAACACTATTATTATTACTATTACTAATAAGATTACTATAATTACTACAATTACTATTAATACCAAAAATTATTACTATTACTGCTGCTGCTACAATTGTTGCTGCTGTTGCTACAACAATTATTATTACTATTATTACTACTGCTACAAATAATAATAATAATAATAATAACAATTATAATTATAATATTATTATTATTATTACTACAAATACTACTTCTACTACCATTACTATTATTACTATTGCTATTGTTACTATTACTATGATAATTAATTTTACACCATTAAACACTTTACCACTATTACTGCTATTAATGCTACTTATAACTATTACCGTTATTACTACCATCACTATCACCACCAGTAGAATTTAAAACTACTATTACTATTATTATTACTATTACTATTATTATTATTGATACTATTACATTACTATAATTAATACCACTATTCTAACTGGTAGTGATATTATTATTACAACTAGTATGACTGCTATAGGCATAATTATTATTAATTTTATTATACGGTCATCACTATTACCACTGTCTCTAATACTGTCGCTATTATTAACATTACCCTACTATTCAATCTTAACTGTTATTTTTCTTCATCTACTAATTTTCTCGCACATCTATGATTAAATTTGCATTGCCAGTATTAATGCATAATATAATATTATTTGTTCAGATATTTTAAAACACTAATTGTAAAAAAGAGATATTGAAAGTATACTTACAAGCAAGAAGATGATAAATGTACTTGTGACGATTCGAAATTATGCACAATATACATCATGAATCATAAAACTTAAACATGTCATATATACTTTTAGACATTGAGGATTATTTAAAAAAATATTGGGTGGTTCGGGATATACATTGCGAAAGTTTTATGTTTCAGCTGAAATGTATCACGTAAGAAAAGAAAGAAAAAGCGCACATTTTATATAATGTTTCTTATATCACGCGCAAGTAATTAATAAAATTACAAGTTCTATAAGCCATCGCAGTATTCTGAAATAATTTTTACAGTGATTTATAATGAAATTTTAATTCATTATTTTAATTTTAATAAATTGAAATAAAGTCATTGTGTGATACATGTGTGATACAAATCACAATAGTATGCTGCTTTTAAAATATAAATGACAGGATAGTGTGCCAATTTATAGTAATGTAAGTTTAGATTTTAGGTATTTACACCAAGAATAATGGCGCAAGAATACACGAAGTTAAATATATGAAATTTCAATGACGATAAGTAAAAAGTAAACCGAATGTGATACAACGATTGTATCGATAGTGAAGTAAGCGTTAATGGCACAATTGATATAATATAATTAACTTGAAAGTATTTAAAAATATTTCAATATATATACATCTCCAGTATATATAATTTAAATTGTATAAAAATCTTATAATATCTTCTATTGGTTTCTTATATTTACTTAGCAATGTTTTTTCCAAAATATTTATTTATTATTAATTCACGATTAATTAAGGCAATATTTCGTGATTCACAATAATCAAATCATTTTGCAACATTTTATATAGCATATCAAATTGTTTTAAATTAAAAGTGCATTAAAAAATTGTACTTAAACATTGTGAAGAAGAGAAGCAGAATTATATTTGGATATTATGAGACAAATTGATACATAGTTTTATTTACAACAAAAATGATAATTTCTGCGCTGTCACTAGTAAATTGTATATTTACAATAATAGATAAATGATAACATAAAAAATGTTAGCTAAATAAAAACTTAGGAAATGTGCATGCTATCATTTTTATACTTATATACGCATATATACATCAAGCATAAAAAGTGATCACAATAACAATTTGGAGTTTTTTTCCGTTATATCACATTCGTATCATATTTGTCTCAGATATCTACGAGCAATATTTGTCATTTCACGCAACTCTCAACGTGCCTATAAATACGATTCTGCTTCAACGACAAATTCTAAGTTTATAAAGTCAAAGTATATATGCTCTCCACATTTTGGACGAAAGCAAAACTGATACAACAGATATATGTATAAAAATACATATAAATTATTCGTCGAATTGAAATTCTGATATATGATATTCCGATAATAAGTAGTAAGTCCGCAAATGTCATTATCCCGAGCCACTCATGTCTTACAGAAAAGGAATACGATTTAATATCTACTAACAATAAGGTTTAACGAACCGTTCACATACACATATACACGTATACACACAAAGCAAACCGTAAGATATATTTGAGAAAAAAACATAATTAGAAAACAGAAGAGACAATAGAAATACATAGAAATCAAATCTAAAGATTTGAATATTTTTAATGGCGATCCCGTTTTTTAAATATAAATACTAGAAAAGCCGTAAAAAAATCGAAATATCTATTAATCATCATATTTGCAGAAGAAATTTAAAATAATTTATTAGTTATCACGGCTCGTATTCACATGTATATGCGCACATCGTAGACATAAAAATATTATAATTCAGAATTGTTAAGATACATATATTTATTTAGACCTGAGGAATTATCCAACTTGAGATATAAAAAAGCAGAGCGCGTTCACACAAAAATTGTGCATTTTTTCTGCATTATATTTTTTTATTACTGTTCGCTTTATTGCTATATATTTTTGTTTAAAAAAACTTTTATTTAAAAAACGCGAAATATAAATGACCTACTACACAACGAGATATCTGAAACTAGAGACAAAAATTCAATAATCGATTTTAAGATTATAATAAAGACTGAAAATAGCATTAGAGATGTATGCGCGTGTGCATATATGCATGTGCAAATAGATTATTCTAGAGATATAAAATTTTTTCTATCTCAGGTTTTATCTTGCTGATAACATTTTTTATTCCATTATATCTATGATGTAATATGCGATTTCATATAAAGCAAATAGATCTTTTGATGTGTTTTCAACAATT